TTTTTTATGTGGTGCTGAAGATAAAACCCAGAGTCTCATATGTGGGAGGCGAGCGCTCTACCACTGAGTCACAACCCCAGCCCACCATCCCTGGTCTTAAGACTCCTCTCTTCAGCTCCAGGGAAATTCTCTGCAGAATGGAGAGGGAGGGGGCAGTGGCAGTCTGGAGTCCCCTTCTCCAGCTTAGAGGGCTAACAGGGTTCCCTGCCTGGTTCCTGCAACTCCTGTTGCCACCCCTGTCCAGCATGGGCAGCTGACCTAGGTTTATGTGTGTGAATTTGTGGTGAAGCAAAATAAAACACAGACACAATTTACATTTACACAAGCTTCAGGATGACTTCCCCAGGCTCTGGGCCTCAGGATCCAGAAGGGAGAGCAAGAGAAAGTCAGGAGAGGCTGATGAGAGAGAGCGAGCATGTTGGGAAGTGAGCTTTTATTTGGGGGAGCACTGTTCTTAGAAAGTTCCACCCAAAAAAAAGAGCAGAAAGTGTAGAATTACAAGGGGAAGGTGAGTGTAACTCAACCTCAGCAGTATGCCTACACCTGAAGACCAGCCTTGCTATCTGAGCTGGGACAAGGCCCAAGTCACTACAAAATGTAGTGACTGGTCAGGGCCTCGTGCTTCACTGGAAGGTGTGATAGTTCAAAGCGGGTCCCCACACCTGTGTTAGTAATCCCTACCCACCTCACATGGAAGAGTTTGGTGTCTCTAGAACATTCTGGGCTTTAATTGTGGCAGATGCCAGAGGATAAGGAAGATGGCATCCTGCTCCCAGATCTGCAAGTCCCCATTTGTCTCTGGGGCACTCACCAGCCTTCTTGGGCTTCAGCTGCTTCACCTTGAAAATAAGGATATTATACTATAAGATGAGACTTGTGCTTTCCTCCAAATTAAGCACCCTGTGTCTGTGGCTCTGTCCCTTGGGGAGGTGGGTCCTGCCTAGGCCTTAAGGGGAAGAGCCTGGACTGTCCCATCCAATCCTGTGGAACTTCATTTGTATCATGCCTGTTGAGGCTCTGCCATGTGCTAGGTGCTATTTTAGATATGTGGGACACATTAGTAACAGTTTCTGCTCTTATGGAGTCAAAAAGCAAATTAAATAAATAGGTGGTGTGAGAGGTCTGGAAGAACAGGTGGGATATGGGGGACAAGGGTGGGGGATTTTCACCTTTAAAGAAGGTGAAGGAAGGTCACATACAGAAGGAGAATTTTGAGAATGCAAAGGGTTGGAAGGACAGAAGCCCGTGGAAATCTCTAAGAAGGACCCCGGGCAGGAGGGATGGCCCAGGCAAAGGCCCTGAGATGGGCAACTTCCAGCAAGGTTGCAGGAACAGCAAGGAGATCATCAGTGTGACTGGAACAGAATGAGCAAGGGAAAGAGAGGTGGGAGATGGAGTCTAAGGTGGAAGTGGGGGCAGCTGGTGAGGGCCTGGCAAGAACCTGGAATTGGACTCTGAGAAGAGGCACCACCCTGAGGTAAGAACCGAGTGGCATGATTTGGCCTGTGTTTGAATAAAATCCACTCTGGCTTCTCTGCTGAAAACAGATACTTAAATCTCTCGATGCCTCAGTTTCCCAGCTATGAAATGCACAGAGCAGGATTGCTTCAGAGACAGGAGGAGGCAAGACTAGAAAGACAGGCACATAATGGGTGCTCTGTGAACATCTTGGATCCCTGCTCTAATGGGACTCAGACAAGGACAGAAGGGGCTGAAGCCACACTGCATCTTGACACTCAGGAGAGCAAGGACAGGGATCCTGCTTCCTCATGGCCCAGCAGCTCCACCTGGCTTAGGGACATTGAGCCTGGAAAGACAAAGGCTAATCTCAACCTGCTCTGCAACAGATTCGCAACTTGCAAGAGAGAGGCATGGAGTTCCTGACTGTACCATCGTCCTACTACAAGCAACTTCGGGAGAATCTCAAGACAGCCAAGATCCGGGTGAAGGAGAGCATTGACGTGCTGGAGGTGAGGCCCAGCAGGATGCTAGGCCACAGGCAACCTGATCCCTGAGTTCTATCTGGCCTCTCCCATCCTGCAGCAGACACAGGCACACAGAGGGAAAACCAGAAAGAAACAAGAGAGTGTGTGTGTGTGTCGGTGCCATATAAAGTTAAAACAGGCAACCTAGGGCTACGTTACAGGAAGTGGCGAACTTTTGAGAAGGTGACTTTAATTGAAAGCTATATAATAAGAGGGACCTAGCCAAGAGGTAAGCTAGGAAGAGCATCTCAGTAGAGGGAAGAGCAGGTGCAAAGGTGATGTGGTGGGAGCAAGCTCCAAGTGCCCGAGGAGCAGGAGGAAGGCTCCTGTGGATTGAAGACAGCATCTGAGAAGAGGTGTACCAAAGCAGGTAGGCGGGGTCCGGTTCCTCTTGGGGACTCTTAGGATGCAATTTTGCACTTCTTTAGCCACAAAGCCTTGAAGGTTTTTTGGTTTTACTTTTTAACAGCTAATTGGCACAAAACTCATATTAAATGGTTATCTCTCGCTATTTGCTAAAATCAAAATCAACATCAATTTTAGAATATTTTCAACACCCTGGAAAGAAACCTTGATCCTCTTAGTCATTACCTCCCAACCCCTCCACTTCCTTCCTCTCAAGCCACCCTAACCCTAGGCAACCACTAAACTACCTTTGGTCTTGCAGATTTACCTAGTCTGGAATTTCACATAAATATAATGATACAGCATGTGGTCTGTTATGACTAGGGTTTGTTTGTTTTGGTACCAGGGAATAAACCATTGAGCCACATTCCCAGCCTTTTTTATCTTTTATTTTGAGACAAAGTCACTGTAAGTTGCTTAGGGACCCACTAAGTCCCGAGGCTGGCTTTGAATTTGTGATCCTTGTGCCTAAGTCTCCCAAGAAGCCGCACTAGGGTACCCTGCATGACTGGTTTTCTTTTCCACTTGCATAATGTTTTCAAGGTTTATCTACTTTTAGCCTATGTCAGTACTTCATTCCTTTTTGAGTGTATAGTGCTGAGCACTGACCCCAGGACCTCAAGCATACTAAGCTACACCCCCAGCTCTACTTCATTCCTTTTTTTTTGGTTGAATAGTATCCCATTGCACTGATGGACCACATTTTGCTTATCCATTCATCAGTTGGTGGATATTTGGGTTATTTCTAACTTGGGGCTATTATTATTTTTATTTTCACAAATTAGGTACTTCAGTCCATGATTTTTTATTGGCACATTCTAATTATACAAATGGAATTCATGGGGCTGGAATTGTGGCTCAGAAGGTAGAGCACTTGACTAGCATGTATGAGGCCCTACATATAAATAAATGAATAAAATAAAGGTCCATCAACATCTAAAAAATAAAATTAAAAAATAATGCAATTCAAGTTACATATTCACATATGCACATAATATAATTTTATTTTGTGGCAATTAGGAATGACTCTGCTATGAACACTCATGTGCAAGGTATTGTGTGGATGTATGTTCTCATTTCCCTTCAGTATGTGCCTGGGAGTGGTGCTGCTGGGTCACAGGCTCTTTATGTTTAACCTTTTGAGAAAGAGTCAGGCTCTGTTTCAAATAGGTGTACCATTTTGCCGCAGTCAGGCCAACAGGAGGCACTTGTAGGTTCAAACAGGAAATGCTTTATTGCCCGAACTCTCACTGGCACTCTATGTGCACTCCCCAGGAACTCTCTCTGCCCTCAATAGGCTCCTTGAGAACTCAATGGGAACTCAGGGAACTCCACTAGAACTCAAAAGTAGCAGGAGCCTGAGGCAGCAAGAGCTGCCCTATTGCGGTTCAGCAGGGGCCTATATACAACTGAATACACAGCCTGTTTCAATCCAGCATCATCCAGTCACAGCAATTATACACAGCTTAACTTAATTATCATCATCTTAATGGCTCCCTGGCTTCACCTCTCAACCACTCCTTCTGGCAAAATGCCAGGCACCATCCTGACTCAACACCATTTTACATTCACAGCAGCAATAGGCAAGGGTTCCCATTTCCACGGAGGGTTTTTGGCTTTTAGAAGGGGTTGTGGGGACTGAAGCCAGGGCCCCATTTTTAACAGACGAGTGAAACAATCTATCTGAGGACTGCAGGAAGAATGGAGTTGTAAGGAGGCAAGCCCAGCAGCAGGCCTGGCTGGATGATTACTTAGCAAGGGCTGCAGCAGAAGGGTGGTAACACAACAGTTTGGGGATATATTTGGAGGGGCCAGGAATTGCTGGAAAAAAGTTTTTCTTGGTGCTTGGGGCACCCAGGTCCCTTAGACTTTCTAAGGATCCCACCGTGCCAGGCTAGAAGGGCAGGCTAGCTTTCCGCTATCGGAGCTCCCTGTCTCTCGCCCAGGAGCTGCAAATCCTGATGGATTATGACGAGAAAGGCTACATCCTTCAGATCTTCACCAGACCCATGCAGGACAGGCCTACACTCTTCCTGGAAGTCATCCAGCGCCACAACCATCAGGTAGGCCCGGAGCAGGGACTGCAGGAAGCATCATCGGCTTTCTGGGTCCCCAGCTCACCTGCTGTCTCCCACTCCAGGGTTTTGGAGCTGGCAACTTCAACTCGCTGTTCAAGGCATTGGAGGATGCGCAGGAGCTCCGAGGCAACCTCACCAATTTGTAGTTCGCGGGGATGTTGGTCAGCACACAGGACACGCCCACCACAAGTCATGCCCCTAACCTGGAATTGCTCAACCCTTCCACTGGCATCTCCCTTCAGACCCCGCCCACCAAACGACTTCCTGGCGCAAGGCTCCACCTATCCCATGACCACGCCCTCTTACTCGATCTGTTCCTGCCCTCCAGAGTAAGGAGTAAAGCACACTCAGTACAATGCAGTGCGGGAGTTTGTGCCCGGGAGGAGCAGTGGCGCCCCTTTGCCACCAGGGGGAGGCCAGCGCCGTGGCGTTTCGGAGGCATCTGCCTTAGGGGATCCCTGCGCCCTGCGACCCAAGCCAGCGTGGGGTGGGGTGCAAGCGCTTTGCTAAGCCGGACTGCGCTGGTCGGGGGGCGGGGGGAGGGGAGATTTCTGGAACGTGGGGACGGGGAGCCTACAATCTAGGGGAAAGGACGGGTAGTACCGTTTCCTAGAAGACAATCAAGCAGGTCTGAGGTTGAGAGGCGGTGGAGTTGGGAGGAGGACTAATTCAATCGAGGGAAAGCCCCTCTGAGAAGGTGACTATGGGGAGCCGCCCAGGGAAATCCATGGAAAGCATTTCTCGGGTAAAGACAGCGGCAAGAGGGCTGGCGATACAGCTCAGTTGGCAGAGTGCTTTGCCTTGCATGCACAAGGCCCTGAGTTCAATCCCCAGCACCGCACACACACACACCAAAAAAAAAAAAAAAAAAAAGATAGCAGCAAGAGATAAGGTCCCTAGGTGGGACAGAAGATGGCAGCATCATGACTGGTGGCTTTATGACTGCTAAAGATGCACTGTCTTGGATTTGGTTACTTGGTGTCCAAACCTCTGAACACGGGAGAGGGGAGAGTTAGCCAAGGGACTTTCAGAAGGGACTTTCAGGGCACCATCCTTGTAGGGCAACCAGAGGACACAGGACAGGTAGGAGGGATCTGAGCCACTCAGCTTCTACCCTGCACCCTCACATGACAGTGCACAATGTCCCACACAATGCCACTGCATCCACCCTTGTCCCCAGTAAGAAATCTTCATACTCAGCCACCAGCAACCCTTGCAAAAGAATGAGGCAACTGGTCCTAAAACCCTTGAAAGGCAAGCATTTCGACAAAAGCAAAAAAAAAAAAAAAAGGTGGGTGGCAGTGTTAGAGGAATAGCTCAGCAGTAGAGGGTTTGCCTAGAATATGCTGGGCAAGGCCCTGGGTGCCATCAAACCCAAGCACAGCAAAAACAGACCAAAAAAAAAAAAAAAAAACCATACAGCAAAGAAGAGATGTTCAGGGGACGCATTGTGTCCCTTTTCCTTCTGCCTTTTTTGTTGTTGTTGTTCCAAGCATTGGACTTGGGGGCACTCAACCACTGAAACACATCCCCAACTAGGCTTCATTTTTTGGTGTTTTTTTAAATTTTTTTAATTTATATATGACAACGGAGTGCATTACAATTATTATACATATAGAGCACAATTTTTCCTATCTCTGGTTGTATACAAAGTATATTTACATGAATTCATGTCTTCATACATGTACTTTGGATAATAATGATCATCACCTTCCACCATCATTTCTAACCCATGCCCCCTCCCTTCCGCCCCTCTTTTATTTTATTATTATTATTTTTTTTACACAGGGTCTCAACAAGTTGCTTAGCACCTCACCTTGCTGAGGCTAGCTTGGAATTCATGATCCTCTTGCCTCAGCCTCCCAAGCTGCTGGAATTACAGCCATTCACCATACACCCGATCCTTCTACTTTAAATGCTTGACATCCCTTCCTGAGGATATGTAACCTCAGAATTAGTACAGGTGGATCTCTGTGTGAGGAAAATAATCTGAGTTAATATTATGGGGGAAATTTGAGGTGTTCTGTTTTCAGATTAGAGAAAATACCAAGGTTTCTGGGATCATGAAATTCAAAAATGAAAAGAACATGGGAGAGAATCAAGATGAACAGGGCCAGGCCCATGCAGAAATAGTCTCCATCTATCCCCACAGCTTATGCAAAGGGAAATTCTATAACCCACAATTTGGTGGTTTATAGGCCAAATATGGCCCACGGATGTACTTAATTTTGCCTGCATGGTTTCAAACAAGTTTGCAACAACATTGTAGAAAATTGTGCCATTTCATGGCTGGGATGTAGCTCAGTTGGTAGAGTGCTTGCCTTGCATGTACAAGGCCCTGGGTTCAATCCCCAGCACTACACACACACAAAAAAGAAAATAAGTTGTGCTATTTCAGCTGGGCTGCTCAGGAGGCTAAGGCAGGAGGATCTCAAGTTCAAAGCCAGCCTCAGCAATTTGGCAAAGCCTGAGCAACTCAGTGAGACACTGTCTCTAAAATACAAAAAGGGCTGGGGATGAGGCTCAGTGGTTAGGCACCCCTAGGTTCAATCACTCTTACCAAAACAAAAACAAAAAAATAGAAGAAAAAAAGAAAGAAAGAAAGCTGTGCTATTCCATATACAAATTCTGGTTCTTTGTGGAACAATCAGAGAACTCTGGGCTTGTCTTCCTATGCAGCAACAGGCAGCCAGTGCTAAGTGTAGAAGCCTCTTCAGACCCATATGAAGGATCTGAACTCTGGGCAGAGCAGTCCCACATTAGCTGGGCTCAGGCTATGGAGCCACACTGCCAGGGTTCACAGCCCCAATCATCCTGTTGCCAGCTTTGATTTTTCTAGAAAAACAGGAAACTGAGTGCTTGTGGGTAAAATCCTCTGATTTTATAATACAAAAGGCTAATTCAAAATAATCAGCAGGCCAAACAAGTCCTGCCATTAGGCTAGTCCAGCATAGCACTGGCATTTTAATAACTGTTTCTTAACCTCAAAACAACTTATCCTACTGCTCTGGATTCCACCTCTTTGGTCAAGCCAGACTGCTCACACAAATCCCTCTGCAGAGTTTCAAAGAGGGCCTAGGCACACCTGCACTGTCACCTGCATCTGGCACCTGTGGGACACAGCCTGTCACCCTCCAGGAGCCTCTGGTACCAAACAAAACAAACAGAAACAATATGTGAGACCTGTCTCCAAAATCAAAATGAAACAAATAACAATAGCCAGGCCCAGTGGCACAAACCTGTAAGCCAAGCAACTCAGGAGGGTGAGATAGGAGAATTGCAAGTTTGAGGACAGTCTGGGCAACTTAGCCATATCCTGTCTGAAAATAAAAATTAAAGACTAAGGATATGGCTCAGTGGTTCCTAGAACCAAAACAAAATGAAACATTATATCTCACAGCACTGGGCAAGGTGGTACATGTCTATAATCCCAGTTATTCACAAGGCTGAAGCAGAAGGATCTCAAGTTCAAGGCCAACCTCAGCAACATAGCAAATACCTGTCTCAGAATTTAAAAAAAAAAAAAAAGGCTGGGGATTCAGTTCATTGGTGAAGTGTCCCTTTTATGAGAAGAGTTTTTCAAAAGAAAACTAATGAGGAAGAATTGCTCAACGGATTCTTATGTGTAATAAAGTCATAAAGATAGCACCATAGGGCACCCAAAGAATAGATCAATAGGAGAGTGAAAAAAAGACCAAGAATAGACCTAAGCATGAGTGAGAATGTGGTATGTAGCAACACTAGCATTTTAAATTAGAAGGAAAGAGGGGACTATTAATAAATGGTTAGAACATCAAACTAATCATTTGGAGAAAAAGAAGTCAGCAGGTGCTCAGTAGCTCAGTCCCCCTGCAATCTTCCCAGGGTCCTCCTAATGTAGAAGCACACTGCCACATCCCAGGGACTCTAAAGGTTTAGACAAAGTCCCCAAACTTCCCTCAAACCTAGTTATATTAACATGGCTTTCCCCTTCTCTGTGTCTTCCTATTTCCTGCCACAGGCTGCCCTAGGTCTGGAGTGATGAAGATCTGTGCAGTAGGTATTACGTCCTCTATAAATTGTGGTAAAAATACTAGCCATGAGGAGCTGGGGGCATAGATCAAGGGTAGAGACTTGACTAGCTTGTGCCAGCACTGTGGGGGGGGATGATAATAATTATTTTTCAAATACTTAAAGTATGCCAGATACTTTTTTGAAATCTGTCTTAAACGTATCAATTTAACAACCTCATGAAGCCAGGAACATTACTATCCCCACTTGACAGCTGAGAAGACCATCTCAATAACCCACTTAGCCAAATAGCAAAAAAGGAAGCCCGCATTCCAATCCAGCTGAACTAAACGATCAGACTTAACAGCTGCGCCCAACAGTTTGCAAAAGAAATAGAACTAGTCCTCCTCTATTTTATGTAATCATCTCTTAAAAAAAACAAAAAACAAAAACAAAAACAAAAAACACTAACATATCAAACAGTGACTAAAAAGAAAAAGAGAGAGCATACTAAGTGCACATCTTCACATGTGTCCTTAATATTCTGCACTGAGCAAGACACATCACCTATGAAGTATTCAAACAAGTTTGGCCTGAATCTACTCATGGAAAAACACCCAGACAAATGCAAAGCAAGGAGATATTTTTCAAAACAACTGGCCTGAAAGCTTCAGAAAGGTCAATGTTGTGAAATACACACACACATACACACACACACACACACACA